ATACGCTCTAGAGGACGTTGAATACCATCAAAGATATTATTAAGATACCAGGTCCTAGCTCAAGAGCAAGAGGTTTACCAGTCTTGATAACCGGATCACCAACAGTTAAACCAGCAGTATCTTCATAAACCTAATAAGCTTATAATACTAATCTTGTTATTATTAGTAGTAATTACCTGAATTGAGGCAGTATCTCCCTCAATCTTGATAATCTCTCCGACAAGATTCTCCCAACCAACACGAACCACTTCGTACATCTTAGAACCGGACATGTTATCAGCCACGACCAAAGGACCGGCGACCTAAAGATTCATACTACTCACAATAACAAGAGTACTACTACTTACCTTATGAATACGTCCGATAGAAGCCTCTTCCTGTTGAGCCTTAACCATAATGATAGTAGAAGGAGTTATGAACTGCAATAACAACTATATCAACAAGAACGAGAGAAGAAGCTCAGCTTAGGTGTGCTTAGCACTCTTAACTTATTTGTAGATCTCGCTCGCCCTAAAATAATTGGCTGCGGCTGGTTGTTGTGATGGTGAAGTGCAGTGTGGTCGTAGTAGAGTGGGTGGTTGGTGATAGTTTATTAAGGCCTCTTTGATGACAGTACCTTTATTATTATGGATAGGGTTATGGATAGGATTGGTAGTTTTATTAGAGGTAGTATTCTAATGTAAGGGTTGGGGTATAAGTTAGAGATCTTTAGGGATGTGATAAGGATAGAAGAAGAAAGCATGCTACTAATACGGCACATGTATCGATTGATGAAGCTAAACGACTAGCATTAGAGGAGGTTATACTGGGGCTATCTAACAATACTTATAATCTTGATAACAACACGAAGAGCTCTCCTTAGTAGGATGAATATCTATTCAATGAATAGTCAGTGTCCTTCTTAGTGTGATGATTGCTCATGAAGATCGTGGTATATCTAATGATGATATATGCGAGGTAATATAAACTGAATATGCTGTTGTTGATGATGATGAATATTATGATCTTATGTAGGTA